GCGGTGCGCTGAGGCCGAGGCCTCCGGCCAGAGAAGCTTATGCTTAAGTGGTGAATCAGGATGCTATTCCATAGCCTCGAGTCCTCTGATCTCCCCTCTCCTTTGGGGGCCCCGCCTATTTTAGCCACTCCTGGCTCCCCTTTCTCTCGCCTTAGTTGTGCTCTTCCACACTAGGCAGGGATTTGCAAGTCTGGCGGCGTGGGCATTCTCGTTCCCTTAGCGTTTCGACGCAGCTCGAGTTCCTGAAGGGGAACGTCTCCAGGTGACGCATGTAACCATGGTTCCCTGAAGGGAACGAGACGCTGTGTCTCAGGGCCATACTTCCGGCATCCTTGCCAGCGCTTGCTTCACTCCTAGAAGCTGACGCCGGTTTCACCGCACGTGCTTTTATGCTTCCTGGTCACTACGTCACCCCGCCCGTGACGTCTCGCCCATCCATTGGACTGATTACACATGTGATTCAGAGCATGGTCGCGCTGGAGGCGCTCCCTCAGCGTTTCGACGCAGTGTCTCGTTTCCTTCGGGGAACCATGGTTACATGCGTAACCTGGAGACATTTTATGTTACTTTAACTCATCAAAATAAGTTTCAATTTTTGTTCAAACTTTTTTATGTTATATGAAATTCAACTTAATTTTTTAAGTTGGTTTAATACGGTGGCCGAGAGAGCTCAACGCACATGCAAATAAAAAAAACACCTGCAAATTAAGAAAACATCTTCATCAATTTGACAACACACGCACTGCAAATGCTCACAGCACAACCGTTGTGAGCATTTGCAGCGAGTTTCTTTGTTTGTGTTGTGAGTTTTTACAGCGCGTTTCTCTATTTGTTTGTGTTGTTAGCATTTGCAGTGTGTTTTTGTATTTGATTGTGTTGCGAGTATTTGAAGCACATGTGCTGTCAAACTGATGAAGATGTTTTCTTAATTTGCTGGTGCTTTTTCTATTTGCATGTGTTTTCTGAAGTTGCAGTCCGTTGAGCTCTCTCGGCCACCGTAGTTTAATGTAATTTAAATTTAAATGACTTGTACAACCAAGCGGATTATATTTAAAACTTTAAGACAGCAACTGAACTTAAGTTTTAAAATTGAAATAGGTGGAATTTTTTTTACAGTAATTTCGAATATTTTAAATAATTCGAATATATTATTTAAAATTCCTTCCTTAAAATTCCTTAAAAGATATAATTTTACAAAAAAATATTTTATTTCCGCTCTTCATTTTATTCCTGTTCTTTATTATATTCATCTGATAATTAGCCATTCAATAGCAGAGCATCTAGGAGTGAAATTACCCATGCACAGTTCATTAGTAAATTCCTGACAAATTAAGATTAAAAATTCAAATTGGAAATAGTTAATCTCTAAAATGTTGAACAACAGTTTCAAATTTCATTCAAATTCAAAATAAACAAACTAATTAATTAATTAATTAGTAAGTGAGTAGCTCATTCACATAATCATGAATTAATCATTAATCAACTCTTATTCAGTTACTAGTTGTGTTGTCAGAATCAGTTGTGGCCTTTATCACTTCATCCTAAATGTCAAGGCCTAGACAGCGTCTGACACAATAGGATTGTACTGCGGGTAGATTTGAAACAGTATGTTTCATCTATCTATTATCACCCCTTAAATAGACGTTGTTCGTTATCTTTGGATTAGAGAAATGTCCTTGAAATTTTCTCCTACTATGCATCATTGTCATGATAACAAAGTATTACTCTTTGGTGAACAGATATACAATAAACAGAAAAAGAGAAAATTGTCCTTTTCTAATGAAAACTGATGAAACTCCTCTCTAGACCAGATCAAGAAATGATGATGCAAACTAAACTGAATCACATTAATTTAATTCCAACTCAGAATCTGTATTGCATCTCTATCATTCTATAGAGTCAGAATGGCTCAAAGTACAACTGATCTGGGTAAAAGCCTGAGGCGTGTTAAGCCTTGTTACACGTCTAACCAGAAGCCCAGAGTTTGTCCAGTGTGAAACCGCACATAGACCTTCACAAGAGTTGCATTATGATGAGCTCAACAGTTTGTTTAACACACTTCAGCTGTTATATCCCACAACACACGCACACATTATCAGTGATATAAAACAGCAACTTCCCCATCTTTTGGGTTGAAGAGTCGTTGTCGTCTGACTGTGACTCTTCTGATCTTCTAATCTCATTGTTGCTCCTGAACTTCGGAAAAATACTGAAAACAGAATCTGACAAAAAGAGACAACAGTATTCTCAGGTAAGTTTGGGCTTAAAGTAAAAGTAAATAATTCTTCAATCAGTGAATGTCACAGGTTTAATTGCATTGTGTTTGTTTATAGGTTGTTTAAGCATCTGCTCTTCACTAGATCTACTAGATCATCTGAGGGATTCGACTGAATCAAGATGCTGCTGATCATTGAAGCTCTTCTGCTTATTTTAGCTGCTCTAGGACAGGTAAGCTTGTGTTCTAGTATGAATATTACAGACATGAATACTGATTATTGATTGTTATGATTCCTGTTGCTGCAGGATCACAGAGGTGCTGGTGCTGCAAGAAAGATATATCCATTGGATATGGCACCAAATTCTGTTGATGACCAATATGAGGGCTGCACAGAGAAAATGGCAGACTTGGTGAAAACTAAATATCTGAAGATGGAAATCAGTAACTCAGCTGAATTTAATAACACTTGGCATGATGGTGAAAATAAAGCCAAGAATCCAGAGGATAATTTGAAACAGATTCATTCAGTTGCCATTTATGTGTACACTAACAATAATTCTGATGTATATCGTAATTTCAATAACGTTGTCCGTAGTGAGAAACAAAAATACAAAGACAAGACATTCACATGGTATTCACTTCACTTTTTGTTAACAGATGCAACAAAGATTCTGAAGAAAACACAAACTAAATGCTATTCAACATATCGTGGTACTCCAGTTGAATTTGCTAAGGACGTTCTGAACAAAGAGATTCGTTTCGGCTCATTTACGTCCTCCTCGTTTGATCAAGCAGTAGCAAGTGGTTTCGGACCTAGATCTTGTTTTGAAATTGAAACTTGTGAAGGTGTTTCTGTGATAAAATACTCTAAGTACCCTGACCAGGAAGAGGTGCTGATTCCTCCATATGAGACGTTTAAAGTCACTGATGTCAAGACGAAAGGGCAGAAAGGTGCCTGGTGTGACACTGTGTTCACTCTGAAAAGCACTGGAACAGTAAGTTACCTGAACTGTGGTGTTGATGCAAAACTAGTTCAAGACAGGGCAAAACTTTAAATCTTCATTCACTGTTTCTTCAAAGTGAACGTTGCTTCTGTTATAATATATGATTGTTTGATTAATTCTAAATAAAAAAACGATCTTCACAAGCTTTTAAGTAAATCAGTAATGACGCTTTGTAGTGTCATAAAAGTTAGCAATCATTTAATTTTTCTGCTTTGTCTTCTTTTGATCAAGTTTAACATGTAACTCTGTAAGCTGTGTATGGGGAAACAACTGAGTAGGCAAAAATTGTATTCTAATTACATGAAGAAATTATATAAAAGCATACTCTAAAACACACTCTATTCTCTATGTAATTCTTGTTATAAAAACATAAAACTTTATCATATTTTCATAAGGAGCCTAAACAATGAAATATCAAGAACGACAATGGGTCTCTTCAAACGTATACTTATTCATTACTATATATATATTTATATATTGTCTTTTTCAACAAATGATCAGTAAAATGAGGTGCTTCAGAAAATGATAAACCTTAATATTATGTAAGCTGTTTAATTTTCTATTCATTTATAAGAGGTTTGCAAATTCTGCAACTTGAAGTAAATACAGTGTAAACTTTGTTGTGGTCTTGGTTATCAACACTTTTTTTTTTTTACTGCTGACTGTGTAAAAAAAAAAAAAACTTGGCATAAAAAATAAAAAAAATACATCAAAGTTCAGAGAAAGAAGTACAGAAAGTAAGAAGTGCTGAGATATTAAGCATTGAAATCAGGAGCAAAGAGCCTAAAAGTTTCATATCCAGATGCAAAGCTTCTCAGAAAACCTAAATATATCTGACTGGGCGCTCACATTTCTTGACAAACTAAAAGACATAAATGAAATTTGTAAATGTGACCCTGGACCACAAAACCAGTCATAAGGGTCCATTTTTCGAGATTTGAGAACTGAGATTTATACACTGAATTTATATACTGAAAGCTGAATAAACAAGCTTTCCATTGATGTATGGTTTGTTAGGACAATATTTGGATACCCCAGCGACTTAAAACTGGTGTTGTGCCCCAGGGTCACATAGATTAGAAATTAAAGCTACACTGTAAAAAAATGACCGTGAATTTAACGGTAAAAGACTGTAAAAATGCTACGGTAAAATCCTGTTAAACGGTTAACGGTAAATTCCCCTACTATATACGATGAAAAACTGTATTGGACATTACATGTATTGGACATAAATTTTACGGTAGTATACCGTTTTTGGAAGTGAAAAAGACCGTATCATTTACAGTGAATAACCGTAAATTGACATTCCCAGAATTCCCTGCTTTACATTTCAAATTTGATGTTTTTTTTGTTGAAATAACTATGTTTCTTCTTAGTTTTTTTTATCAGTTTTGTATATTAGGGTTGTATGTTACACCTAATGTTGTTAAATTAATGTTTATTGCATTATTTCAGTTTCATGTGTGTTACCATGATGGTGTTTGGTGTTTGTGTGAATGACACTGTGCACCTTCTATATATGTTATTATTTAAAAGCTGCTTGTGATGGGCTTTGGTTCATCATGTGACTTTCTCATCACCACCTGCATTTGGTGGTTATCAGTGTATTACAAAGGTACAAAACAGATTTCAGTACTTCAATAAGGTTGGTATATTAACATTATATCAGTTAATGAAATTACGGTATTTAACTGTAAATTTAAGTTAAAATCGTAAAACCTAAAACGTTGCTACCGTATTTTTTACGGTAAAACTCCAGCAACCACAGCTGCCGGTTTTTTACCGTAAATTTTACGGAATTTTTTTTTACAGTGTATAGATTGTACTGAATGTCAGCTTGCTTATTTTGCTCAAGGTAAGGATTTATAAAGTCCACATGTCATGCAAACAAGATGCTTCTAACCACAGGTCAAGAGGTGTCATTCCAACCACAGAATTTTGTGAAGCTATGTGCAAATGTTCATTGGAACTATAATTTTCGGAAACAACGACTCAGTGAACTATGCAAAGTATCTAAAGCCTGCTCAAAAAGTCATTAAATGTTGCTAGATGATGTCATGCACTGTATTTTAATAATATATAAGTGAATGTCAAATAAAGCTGTTGTTATTTACATATTTTCTGTCAGACAACGAAACGAGTATGATATATAGTGACTGACCTAGTGTTAACTAGCAATCCAAAAAGTCACTTGATTTATTGCTAATCATTTTAAAAGGAATAAAAGTCACTATTTATTCACAAAGTTGCTAAATTGCCAGCACTGGTTGATAACTCCTGTTTTAAGTGTTTCCACATATTTTGCAGGACATTCATAGTCTTATACAAAATTTGTAAATATTATTTGTAAGGCCTTTTTTTGAGATGGAGACAGTAGAGATGATACAAGAATTGACAGGGCGGAAGAGATGGAGGCTGGGACTGGGAATAATGTAATTTGTATTTCTTTTGTTTAATTCTGATAATGTCTTCCAGCTGTAACTTTCATAGAGTCAGAATTGCTTGAAGTGTAATGTTTTTTTTTAGCCTTTGTCAGTCCAGTGTGAAACTACACGCAGACCTTCACAAGTGTTGCACTAGATGAGCTCAACAGTTTAGCTGAGCTGAATGCAACAAGATCACACTTCAGCTGTTATATTTCAGAAAACACACACACATTATTAGCAATATAAAAAGCAACTTCAGCCTCGACATCTGTTTGTTTGAAGAGTCGTTATTGTCTTGCTGTGAGCGACTGACTTTTCGGATGTTCTCTTCGTTGCTCTTGAGCTCCTGAAAAACAGCAAAAAGAAAACTCAGAATCTTTTAAGGTAAGTTTGGGGGTAAAGTACAAGGTCAAGGTTATTGGGCAAATCTATGTGCATGTTCTTACTGAAGTGATATACATATGAAGTATTTGCTAAGCCCTGTGTCTCTGGTTGTATTTCAGCAGCTGTTCTTCACTAGATCTACTAGATCATCTGAGGGATTTGACTGAATCAAGATGCTGCTGATCATTGAAGCTCTTCTGCTCAGTTTAGCTGCTCTAGGACAGGTAAGCTTGTGTTCTAGTATGAATATTACAGACATTAATACTGTTGATTGATCATTATGATTCCTGTTGCAGCAGGATCACAGAGCTGCTGCTGCAAGAAAGATATATCCATTGGATATGGCACTGAATTCAGTTGATGACCAATATAAGGGCTGTAGAGAGAAAATGTCAAATCATGTAAGGACTAACTATCTGAAGAAGGAACTCAATAACTCAACTGATTTTAGAAATGCTTGGAAACATGCTGAAAAGAATGTTACCCGTAACTGGAATATTTTCAGAAAATTAAAAAAAGAACATAAAATTGCTATCTGGGTGTACACTGACCCAAATTCTAAAATATATGTTCAATTCAACAATGACACTCGTAATGGCAAAAAAAACTACACAGTCATGACATACAAATGGTATTCCCTTTACTTTCTGTTAACAGATGCGATACAGATTCTGAAGAAACAACAAAATAAATGCTATTATACTTATCGTGGTACAAATGTTAAATTTAATGAGCATGATTTTACAGGCATTCGTTTTGGCTCATTTACATCCTCCTCTGTTTTTCCTGGCAGGGCACACAGTTTTGGAAATGTATCTTGTTTTGAAATTCGCACTTGTGAAGGTGCTAATATTACAAAATATTCTAGGGTTCCTTATGAGGGAGAGGTGCTGATTCCTCCTTATGAGACGTTTAATGTCACTGCTGTCAAGACAAAAACAGATCAGAAAAATCTCAAGTGTCAGACTGTGTTTATGTTGAACAGCACTGGAATAAAAAGTGACCTGAACTGTGCTCTATTCAAGAAACCATCCAAGACCATATCAAAGTACTATGATATGCACAGACCAAAGTGATTTGAATTTACAAATGTACATCGGTTAAACACAAAAAAAAAAAAATAATAATTTTAATAGTAATTTTAACATTATTTTGTTATGTGTTTAAGTACTAACCATTTAACCTGTAGGTACTACATGTTTTTTTGTTGTTATTGAAAATTGATTGTCTTGTTATATTGAATTACAGCATTTGTCGGATTGTACAGACAAATTAGAGTGCTTAAGCTTTTTTTTTTTATCAGATTCACATTCAGCTTCTGTTAACCAAATACATCTCTCAAAGCACCTTATTTTCTCTCATAATTCTCTTTGATAACAAAACATTTTGTGACTGCATGTTATGGTGGGAACATAAATGTGACCAACTGGAAAAATTATGAAAAATCATTATCCTGTGAGGAAAACCTTGATATGGATAATTTATCTCTAACATACTACACAAGATACAATTTTAATTATATTTAATTTTTTTTGTAATCTTATCCTTTAAAAGTAGAATGAAAGTAAATTATATATCAAATTAATTTTGCATGTACAAATGCCAGGATTTGACAACTGTGAATGGCGTTTTGTCCTTTTTTTATCAGATTCACATTCAGCTTCTGTTAACCAAATAAATCTCTCAAAGCACCTTACTTTCTCTCATAATTCTCTTTGATAACAAAACATTTTGTGACAGCATGTTATGGTGGGAACATAAATGTGACCAACTGGAAAAATTATGAAAAATCATTATCCTGTGAGGAAAACCTTGATATGGATAATTTATCTCTAACATACTACACAAGATACAATTTTAATTATATTTAATTTTTTTTGTAATCTTATCCTTTAAAAGTAGAATGAAAGTAAATTATATATCAAATTAATTTTGCATGTACAAATGCCAGGATTTGACAACTGTGAATGGCGTTTTGTCCACCATTTCACCTATTGTTTATGGAAAATGGGTTGAATATAAGGACCCCAAGTTTTAGGATTATGGTAAACAAGGTAAACAAGCACAACTGCATGACTGGGTTGTGATACAGGTACATTCATACTTTTTAATGCCATTTTGTCACTTCAGAGAAACCGATACAGATGCATTTTATAGTTGGTGTGTCTCCACCTATTACACAAATGTATGATTCTTGATGTATGATCTTGACTTTTTAAAGTGCAGTATTAGAGGCCAAGCATCAAAGTTGCATTGGCATCTATTGTATCTATAAGTTTTCTTACTATTCTTCTGATCCCTTTGCTATTAACAGGCAGCACTATATGGTAAAATGTTATTAAATTTGGCACAGTTTTAGGGCAGTTTCTGAAAAATCATCTGACCAAATTTGGTGTCAGTTTCTCCAAACCTATAGCGCCACCAAAAATTCAAATTCCACTTCAGTTTTAGCTAGTGAAGTTTGTAATAAATGGTCTAGAAGCCACTTTTAACCACTTTTGTTCTGAACAAAGCGGTTTGTTTTGGTTCTGTCACATCACATCAGAATCTTTACATCACATTCCTGAACAATTTCATAAAGGATTGCATTCTTTCTAAATATCCAGGCGGATTTTTTGAATTAAAGAGGGTTCTTGGTGTTGGGTCAAGGTAAGCTAAACATTTTAAATGCACTACATGCGTCAAGATGACATTTGTGATATACAAAAGCCACTTTCCTCATCTCTTAGTTTGAATTGTTGTCTGGCTGTGAGTGACTGACTTTTCTGATCTACTCCTCTCGTTGCTTCTGAGCTCCTGAAAAATAACAAAAAGAAAAACATAATCTGACAACAAGAGAGAACAGTATTCTCAGGTAAATTTGGGGTTAAACTAAAAAGGTCAACAAAACACTATATACGTGATTCTTTCAAACCAGGGGCGTAGAACATCAGATCATGCACAGGCTATCCTGTCTGTTTGAATTTAAATCGATATTTATTCACACCAGCTCTTGAAAACCTCTATGCGAACACACTTACCCGAAAAAGTGCGGGGGACGAATTTACGTGGTATAAAAAGTGGGGGGGAGACGTCCCCCGCGTAATCTACGCCCCTGTTTCAAACAGTTCTGATACTAGAATGAATATGATTTTAAAACTTATATATGTTGGTATGTATGTACATGTTCCTATTGTGAAATATTTTGTACTTGCTAAACCCTGTTGTGTCTCTGGTTGTCTTTCAGCATCTGTGCTTCACTAGATCTACTAGATCATCTGAGGGATTCAACTGAATCAAGATGCTGCTCTTCTTCTCATTTTAGCTGCTCTAGAACAGGTAAGCTTGTGTTCTAGTATGAATATTACAGACATGAATACTGATGATTGATCATTATGATTCCTGTTGCTGCAGGATCACAGAGCAGCTGCTGCTGTTGACGTTGCTCCTGAGCACCTGAAAAATAACAAAAAGAAAACTCACAATCTGACAACAAAAGAGAAAAGCATTTTTTTTAGGTACGTTTGGGTTTAAATTAAAAGGGCAATATAACAGTTTTATTGTAAAAATCTATGTAAATATTGCTTTCCATTTATAGATATAGCATTTGTTAAACCCTGCTTTGTTTGACTTTCAGAATCTGTGCTTCTCTAGATCTGGAGATTTGACAATCAAGATGCCGCTGCTCATTGAAGCTTTCTCATTTTAGCTGCTCTAGGACAGGTAAGCTTGTGTTTTAGTATGAATATTACATACATGAATACTGATGATTGATCATTATGATTCCTGATGCTGCAGGATCACAGAACAACTGTTGAAGGACAGATATTTCCATTGGATATGGCACCAAATTCTGTCGATGACCAATATAATGGTTGTACTATGAAAATGGCGAATCTGGTGAAGACATTTCTAGAGAAGGAAAGATCTGGCTCAGCTGAATTCAATAAGACTTGGCAAGAAGGTGAAGAGAATGCAAAGAAAGCAGAGGATAACTTGCAGCAGATTCATTCAGTCGCTATTCATGTTTACACTAACAAAGACTCTTGTGAAGGTGCTAATCTGACAAAATACTCTAAGTATCCCGATGAGAAAGAGGTGCTGATTCCTCCATATGAGAAGTTTAAAGTCACCACTGTCAAAAACAGGACAGATCAGCCTGATCTTTGGTGTGAAACTGTGTTTGTGTTGAACAGCACTGGAAAAAGTGACCTGAGTTGTGCATTGTTTAACAGTGGAAACCATGCTGCTTTCTTTAATGTTCTACTAGTTTTGCAAATATTATTTTGCAAAGTGTTTACCTGCTAACTGGTATATTTTACATTTCACGTTGTTACTAAACTCATGATTTACTCACCCTCAAGGCATCCTAGGCGTATAACTTTCTTATTTCAGATGAATCCAATCGGAGTTATATTAAAAATTGTCCCGGCTCTTCCAAGATTTATATAGGGATGGCTGACGCTAAACTGACGTTTCGACGCAGTGTCGAGATCCCGAAGCATAGATGTTTCGAAACACTGCTCCGAAGTGTGATTCAAAACACCCATGTCACGTGACAATGGCTAAATTAAGCTTTGGTGCGGTTCACAAGCGTTTCGACCGACAGGCGGCAAAATAAAAATCTTACAATGTAACAAATGTGACAGATTGTGGCTTGATTTCTTTTATTAATGTTCACTTCTCATGACCAAAATAACCATAATTATTCACAAAGAGGAGCTTAAAGGTTACAAAACCAAGCTCATGTAGACACATGTTAAAAACTCAACACATTATATATATAAAAAAAATCTAATCAATTAAAAAATACAACTATAAAAAAATCGTAATTGCTCTTACAATGATGTGGACACACTTTATTGTTTGACATAAGCCTAAACAACGTAGGTTATCATTTGTAAATCGTTGTCAAGGCAGAGCAACACGTGCAAGTGACCACTACAGTATGTGTCACAGTGGAGACAGGTGTCTGATTGTTTCGAAGCCTTGACACAATTCGGCACATTTGCTTCAACTGTCGGTGCGTTCCAAGCGGAATATATCACCCTCCGAAGGGCACTTCGGAGTGAAAACAATCATGGCCGCATTATTGAAGGGTCGGTCCAAACCGAAGTGCTCAAAACTGGCCACTTCAAAGGGCCTTTCGGAATGAAGGATTTCGAAGGGTACAACTGATGGGCACTTCAGGCCCCCATGATCCTTTGCACAGGGAAGTTTGACGTCACAGAGTTTGACTTCACCTATAAATGTATGTATAGTATTTTTCTATACTAACTGTAATATTTAAAAGAGTTAGATTTGGTACATTATTATGGTCAAAACGACATTGTACTTCAACAATAATACTTTACAGCTACCTTTATCAGTCCATTAAAATGTCTCAAATAGACACATAATATACATTACAAACAGGGTTTGAAATTAACACCCACCAACCCGCCAAATGCGGGTAAAAATCAGCTGTGGCGGGGAACGCTGTCAAATCACTAGCCAATTTGGCGGGTTACTTTTCGTAAGTTATGTTCACTAGGCCTAATTAATTTCTTGGGGAAGTTCATGCAAGCCAAATCTGCGCAGGTTTAGCGCAAATACTGAACTCGTGAGACATCATGACATTATCGAGTATATTGCAAAAAACAAACAAAACACACCTACAGAGGCACGCATACGCGACGTGATGAAGTCTGGTTAGACCAACACAGGCTTTAGAGCGCGTGCGCATTTAGAGTGCGTTCTTTCACTATCGAGTATATTGCAAAAACCAAACAAAACACACCTACAGAGGCGTGCATACAGGCGTGATGAAGTCTGGTTAGACCAACACAGGCTTTAGAGCGCGTGCGCATTTAGAGTGCGTTCTTTCACTGCATTATTCAGAATATTAATATGCATTAAGAGTGATCACATAATTCAAGATAAGGGGGCAGAAAATGTATAAATTTATATCAATTCATATAGTTAATCATTATCACACGAAGAGTGCCGTTTTTTCTTAAAAATATCAGCATGGTTACAAATGTGATATTGATTTTATACAACAGTTCAATAAACAATAAGTTAACATCAAGATACTTACGTTTTAGACAGCATATTG